CCCGCCGGGGGGGGGAACGAAATGCACTGTCGTATCCGACTAGCGTGGCATCAGTCATGCCGGATCTGAGCAAATTGCACCAGTCTGGAATTTATTGATTCAGCATGTCGATACAGTTTGTGGCCCGAATTTTCTTTCCGTGCGTTTTCTTCACATTTCTGTGCTCCTTTGTACTCACTGGAATTGGACGCATTTGTATGCAAAGTTGATGAGTGCCTTGCTATTTGCCCCTGCGAAACTCAAAAGTTGTTCTGATTAACGCTTACTTCATCGAAATAATTCGGAATAATGAAGCAACAGGATTTCAAGTCACGCAAGACAACATGCTCATAACGGAATAACATTACCAGTCAGGCGGATCTCCTCACATGGAGAAATGCGACTAGAATGGCACACATTACCACATTAGTAGTTCATATTCACATCACTGATCCACCTAACAAAACACACACACTGAATGTTTGCTGTATTGTCAAGGGGATTGATTGTCTATGCGGAGATATGATTGTAGCTCCTCTGTGTATGTGTATATCTATTAATGTGCATTCATGATAAAAGTTCCTGTCACCACCACATTACGAATGTGACAGTTCGACAAGCAAATTACTGAACGACTGTTCATGAAACATTTATACATCGTTTATTTTGAGCTTGGAAACTGTGAGTTCTGTTATGCAGTTCGACTGCGGTGTTTTCCACCATCTCAACTTGTGTTTGTATGTGCATTGTCTCTCTCTCTCTCTCCCTACTCATTTATCTATATTTGTTGTTGTTTTCTTCTTCGTCGGTATCGTCTGATATTTAGACCCTTGGTTGTCTTCATATACAGAGGGACAAATCCGTCGCCAGTGCACTAATGTGGTCCCTGCATCGCTAATGAAAATAACACTGACTTTTGAGAAATTCACCAGCAACTTGATCATTCGGANATTCGGATATTTCCCCGCATCGGATTGTTGCGTCCCATTTCGCGTTTTCTATCGTGTCGGATAATAAGGCTCTGATTGCAGTGGTATTATTATTGGTATGCGCACGAAATTAACATTAAAAAGCAATTTCATTGGCTTCCAACGATTCATCTCCAGTGAATGGTTAACCGGCCGAACTGAAGAGTATGTGAGGAGATGAAGTTTGGCAGATTGCCAGCCCAAGTCAAAAATCATCCATGTCCCTGCATAGGTTCTATAAGTAAACGACATTTTAAAGAGATACACTTCTGGTTTGCGAGAGGTTACAGTATTTGATTCACAGAGAGGGAGGGAGATGGAGGGAGTGGGGCAGCGTGTTTCACACCACCAAGTCACAATATCTCTTCAATTAGGTTGTAATGCATCATATGTACCGACCGATCTGCAGTCATGGTGGTTGGTTGACGTGAGCTAATCTCTTGAGCGGAAAACTGTATCGCGCAAGGGATGATGTTTATATCTCTGCACTAGATCCGCTACACACGGATGCACCGAAGATCAAACTGAACAACTCATTTCTGATAACAGAAGTCAAAAGGGTGAAGTACTCTAAGCGAAATTTTAACGGCGTATCTGGTATAGGAAATTGTCTAGTATTATTATTACATTATTATCTATTCTTATTCCCATACAAAATTATCTAAGTCATATTGTTCAAACGTTCATCAGTGCTTGGGCCTCTATTAATATCACCTTGAAAATAGAGAAAACCATAAATTAGCTATCCTGGCGTGACCGATGGACTACTTCAAAGAAGGATTAATAGAAAAAGCCTTAAACTGGGCAGTAGACTATTTTCCACAGATTATTACCTCTTAGGCAAAATAGAGACCTTATTCACTACTTTGTATCACGAGTTCGAACAATATGCTCTGAAGCCACTGAAAAGACAATAACGAGGAAAATGGATACCCTGAAAGATTTATCAAATAGAAGACAGACTGAAAAATGTGTCTCTCCGGCGAATTTTAGAAGAAAAAGCAGCTCACTGAACTGTCTAAGGTCATTAGAAAGTCTTTAACTTTGAAAGTGATAGGAATCATTAATGTTGCCCTTTTGGCATGCGTATTCACAAGCTCACCAATAATGAGAACATCCAATAAGAGCAATTTGACTACACTGACCTCTTTCTCTATTAATTTAGCTGTGTTTATGATGCAACCTACATTGACCGAGCGGCAGGGGAACTAACTCAGCGGATTCAAGAACACGGACCACTTTGACTTCAAGAGGGTGCAAAGGGGTCTCAGGAAGCGCTATTCTCGCCCACTTTACTGACTTAGATCACTTTCGTTCACTCCCAACCAATGTGCACAAAAGAGGTTAGATCAAGCCAATCAACCAACTACAATGACCTCATATAAGACCCAATTACAGTTTTTCGGTGACCTAGTCCTGTGAAACACGTTACACCACAGCACCCAACCTCCCCTCGCAACCAATCACTGTGATCTTTGGCCATGCGAAAGTGCCCCTTTTTAACAAGTCACTTCCTTACATAATTTACACAAGCTAATAGTTGAGGCATTACATACAGTCATTTCAAATAGAACGAAGAGTGGCGATCAAACTTGTTTTCAGCGATTCGTAGTCATGCCAAATACATCACAGTAAGTAGCACGCTGTTTATGTATGTATCAGTATTCAATCATAAAAATATAAATATAAAACCAAACAGTTGTTTTGGGAAAGCGAAAATTAACATCACAGGTTATCTGGGGCTAATTTCGTCTTCAGATCGGATGTGGAATTTCTCAATTATCACATAATTGTTAGGTCATCTGATCGTTGGGACTGCTCGGGATATGGGGTGAGTGTGAGGTGGGCCAGGGTAGCTTAATCGCCTGCACTAATTGTTTTTTCCTGCATACAGAGGGGGTTGTGCAGATGAACTCCTACCGCTTCCATTGTGGCCGGCATACGACATCGAAAGTAACTTGATAATCGATCACGAACCCGATACAGGAGACGGAATACCTTGGTCACATTCACAGTGTGATTTGTTTCAACTAGGGGTGAAACCACTGCACTTTAATGAGTGACCTGATCGTTCCAATATTTAGCCATGCAGGGTGGTGTTCACGGATTCGTTCGGACAAACCCCTGACCGTGCGGCTTATGTACGTTGTTCCACAGGAACACGTAAGTGAGTACACAATGAGTACCAGCTTGTTCGTCACTCTTTGTTCTATTTGAAATGTGCTCTGTGGGACTGATTAGATATTTAAATGCAATCATGCTTCTCTGAGTGTATATTCTCATGGTCATTCATACTCCGGAATATTGGAAAGTGTTTAAGATTACAGTCGCGTGCACGCTCCGAGCAACTTTCCGATAGTTCATCTGTTCATCGCCCGGGAAACACCGGTCACAGACTTGTCTAAATGGCCTACTTTCATGATTGATTCCATTCGACTGAACTACTACCCTGCCCTTGTACCATAGAATACATACCTGTCGGCTGATTTCAACAGCGTCTAGAATTTGCTTGCCACATACTACCTAACTGGCAACCAGACACGTTAGAGGTAACTTGGTAGAATAATTTTACCATGGAGAAAGCAGCATTCACATCGACTATCATTACGAGTTTTGGGCAGGTGAAATCTTTGTGGAAGAAAATGCTAGTATCTGGATCATGGTCAAAGGCTGTCAGCTGTAGCTAAAGGTAAAGTAAACCCTAGCCAGAAAAGCGAATCGAATTGATGTGATTAAGCTCCTGTTCGAGGGACCAAGATGTGCATGTAGCACATGGTTTTCAATCCTTAGAGACATGTATGAATGGTATTCTTGTACTTACTCTCCAGTAATAGCAAAATCTAATTCCTTCGTTTGCAATATTCGCCACTGTATAATCATTTTTGATTAGTTGATCATCCTGAGTAAGGCATCTGGCGAACTGTGAAAACTGAACTGATTATAGTGGCCTATTTTCACGCACAAGCCAGTAATCCCATAGTA